CTGAGCCACCGAGCCGGCTGCCGCACGACTGTTTTCCAGGATGTCTTATAATGCTTCCTTCTCTGTCTCTCCTCCATCCCTCCTTGTTCTCCAATGCCTCTCTCCTATTTCCCCCTCCCCACCACCTGCTGTTCCTTCCCTGCCATCCGTCCTCTCTCCAGTCAGTGTCTGCTTCCCTGTGTGTGTGGAAGTGCCCTCGGAGACGGAGGCCGTGCAGGGCAACCCCATGAAGCTGCGCTGCATCTCCTGCATGAAGAGGGAGGAGGTGGAGGCCACCACGGTGGTGGAGTGGTTCTACAGGCCCGAGGGCGGTAAAGATTTCCTTGTATGTCTGACTGCTGACTCTGGCCTTTCTTCTGCTGGCCTCTGCTGTTGTGTGCCTGGCTGCTGACAGTCCAGGGATGCCGAGCTAGCAAACATGGCACTTTTCTTCCAAGCACTGAGCACTCCTCAGCAGATAACTGACAGCCTTAGTTCATCCCAGCTTCTGTGAAACGAAAGGCATTAGCCAGCTGCATGCACCCCTATTAAATGGCATGGGGAAGGAGAGAATGAGATAAACTGCTCTTCAAGCCTACAATGTGACAGGCACCCTGTCAGACACTTTGCAAGTGTTTTAATTGAATCTTCCACAGCATCCTATTCAGTGGATTAAATTAGTAAAGAAATGGAAATAATTTGAAGCATCATTATATGAAATGACACAGGTTATCTCCTTTAACAAGCCCAGTGAAGTAATAATAATAGGCATGACCAAGGCTGACAATCAACTGGTACACCCGGTACAGCCACATCAGTGAGTAAACTAGATAGTTCTATGAAGGATACTTGCTGTGCCGAGTCTCTCAAGTGTACCCACCACAATCCTTCCCACTAGGAACCTTTAGACTTTCCTGTGATCTGAAAACTAAGGGATTCGCTCCTGGTAGAGCAGGGAACTTTTTGGACTCCACTTCTGCACCACAGTCAATGTCATTTTTGGTTGGTTGGTATCAGTGGTGAAGAAGTTGTTACAGATTTTTTTTTTTTTTTTTGAGTTGAAGTCTCACTCTGTCACCAAGGCGGGAATGCAGTGGCATGCTCAAGGCCACCGCAGCCTCAACCTGCTGGGCTCAGGTGATCCTTCTGCTTCAGCCTTCCAAGTAGCTGGGACTACAGTCGTGCACCACCATGTCTGGCTAATTTTTTGATTTATTGTAGAGATGAGGTCTTGCCAAGTTGCCCAGGCTGGTCTCGAACCGGTGGGCTCAGGCATTCCTTTTACCTCCCAGCAGATCATAGGTGTGAGCCATTATGCCTAGCCTGTTATAGATTTTTAATACCACCTTGGGGATGACCATTATTTACATATTCACTGACTTTGGAGCCAGGTTGCCTAATTTAATTCTGAACTCCACACTTATTAGCTCTGTGTCCTTGGACATGTAACTCAACCTTTCTGTGCCTTAGTTTCCTCATTTTTTCAAATGGGGATATAAAGCATAGTTACTTTATAGGGTTGTTACTTAGATTCGTGATCTATAATTCTTTTTGTTGTTGTTGTTGTTTTTGAGTCGGAGTCTCACTCTGCCACCCAGACAGGAGTGCAGTGGCACGAGCACAGCTGCTGCAGCCTCGACCTGCTGGGCTCAGTTGATCCTTCCACCTCAGTTCCAAGTAGCTGAAACTACAGGGGTGCCCCACCACGCCCAGCTAATTTTTTTATTTATTGTAGGGACGAGGTCTCACCACATTGCCCAGGCTAGACTGGAACTCTTGGGCTCAGGCAATCCTTTCACCTCTGCCTCTCAAGTGCTGGGATTACAGGCATGAACCACCATACTCGGCCTGCCCTATAATTTTTAACACATTTAAAATAGTTCCTAGACTATAATAAGCAGTATGTTAAGTGTTTGCTAGAGAAAAGATATATATATATATATACAGAAATGAGGAAACTGGGCTCAAAGACGTTAAGTTAATAAAGTAGCTTAGATTTGAGCCAGGTGGTCTGACAACAGGTACAAGGCCCTTTTTACCGCACCACCCTGCCTTCCTGGGGGCAAGTTTCTCCTCCACAAAGACTTTTTTTTTTTTAATTTACTTTTTATGTTTTGTAGAGATGAGGTCTTGCTATGTTACCCAGGTTGATCTTGAACTTCTGGACTGAAGCAGTCCTCCCTCCTGGCCTCCCAGAGTACCAGGATTACAGGATTTAGCCACTGCACCTGGCCCTTCTTTCAATCCTTCCTTTCTCTCAACTTCCCCATATGGTTCTCCCCACTTCCTCTGTTCTCCCTCTTTCCCCCTCTTTCTTCTGCCAAGCTTCTCCCTGCCTATCCCTTATTGCCTCCTCCCGCACCGTGGCCACTTGCTTTGATGCCTGTCTGCCTCTGCCTGCCCTTCTCTGTCTTTGCTCTCTTCCCTGCCCACCTCTGCGCCTCTTCATCCCACTCCAACATCCTAGGTCCCCTTTCTTCCCTGTCTGGGCACAATTCTGCTCCCTTTCTTTGCCCTGTTCCCATCTCGGTTCTCCTAGCCTGGCCCTACCCTCTTCTGCTCCTTTACCTGCAGATCTATGAGTATCGGAATGGCCACCAGGAGGTGGAGAGCCCCTTCCAGGGGCGCCTGCAGTGGAACGGAAGCAAGGACCTGCAGGATGTGTCCATCACTGTGCTCAATGTCACTCTGAACGACTCTGGCCTCTACACCTGCAACGTGTCCCGGGAGTTTGAGTTTGAGGCACATCGGCCCTTTGTTAAGACAACGCGGCTGATTCCCCTCCGAGTCACCGAGGAAGGTGAGGCTGAGGCACAGGCTCTCTAGGACATCCTGCTCTTGGAGGGTGGGGTGGGGGTGGATGGGACAGCGGGTTTCCGTGCAAGTGAGACCTAGAAGAGTGCAATAACTCATGCATTTGGTGTGATGACATCTAAAAATGTCACTATTGACCCATCTTCCTTCAGCAACCAGCCTCCTGCAAACTGCCCAAGAATGACCTCTTCCTGGTCCCTTAGAACAAGAGGACAGTGCCACAAAGCCTAAAGCTACTGATTCAGCTATGCCTTCTTCTCTGGGCTGTGCTGAATCCCTGACTCAGTGGGCTCAGTGAAATTGCATAAGATTATCTAGAAGTCATCTCTTCTTCTGTCTGTAAGCAATACATTCCTCTCAACCAGTGGGTCTCAAACTTCAGCAAGCCTCAAAAATCTCCTGCCGGGCTTTTTAAAGCCTAGGCTTTTTAAAGCCTAGACTTTCTGACACTGCAGGTGGAGCCTGAGAGTTTGCATTGTCTAACAAATTGCCAGGCGACTCTGCAGCTGCTGAGGGCCACTTTGATAACCAGTCTCTAAACCAAAGTTTGATGATCTTTTTGTCTTTTGTTTTTCTCCACAATAATCATACATGCAGCTCCTTCCCCATCTGTGGCATCTCTTATTACATAAATCCATTCTTAGCTGGGAGAAGGAAGGGGACAAGATGATAGCCCTCTAGTCTTGAGTGTAAAGTCTTCAGACTCCTACAGCTAGTTCCCTGCTAGTGAGGGGGAAGTCCTTTCAGCAACCTAACTCACAGGTGTCTGTGGCAACCTGAGTCAGAATCCTGAGGGTGGAGTTATAGCCATTCTTAGATAGTCTGTTTCCAGCATGCTTTTTAGCGTAATCATGCCCTGAGATGCAGGTTGGTGAGCAGGCCAGAGGAGTGGGCATGAAACAAGAGATCAAGTTAAAGATAAGCCTCTTTCTAGAAGAAAGAATCTGAGAATTCCAACCTCCATGCCATGAGTTTATTCATTTTTTATCATGTCATTGTGATAAAAATAATGAATGGAAGATTGTTCAGTCTTGAGGGTGAAGAAGGGAGAAAAGAGGTAACAGATCAGACAGTGTGACTAAAATGGAAGGTAGGTCAATTCCATAAGAGCAGAAGGACTCTCGGGCCACCTGAATCAAGACCTGATGAGTCACTTCCCCCTTATGAGCCCATCTCCTCTTGTGTAAAACGAAGGGGTTGGAGGGAAGCTAAGTTATCCTTCTGTTCAGAAATTCCATTTTCCTGTTTACACAACTCTCCTTCCTTGGGGGAGGGGGCCTGGCGCCCTCTACTGGTCACTATCTGGAACTGTCGACGGGTGCCTGCCAGACCCTAGCACTGCCTGTCTCCAGCTCCCGCTCTCTCAGGCTTTTGCCTCTAGAGAGACCTTCATGTGCAGCTGGTGGAAAAAGTGGCAGAGCTGAGCTAGTCCACCTGCTGGGCACCACAGAAAGCCTTTGGTAAAAAGAGAAGAAAAAGCAAGTGAATTATCAGAGCCACAGAGCCTCGCATATGGTTAGTCTGGAAGGAAGCTTGGGTATCATTTGGTCCAGGGCTTCTAACAAAGAGGAGGCATCAGGATCCCCTAAATTGGCTTTCTCCAAATGTAGACACCTCCACCCCACCCTTGCAGGGGTGAGATCCGTAGGCTTGGGTGAGGTCTGGTGTATGTAAGTTGAAATGACTTCCCGGGGGATTGGTGGGTGCAGCTCTGGGACCCCTCAGTGTGGCTGGGAGAACAGAGCCCTGCAAGAGCAAAGTCTTTGCTCAGGGACATGCAGTAAGTTTACTCTAGAGGCAGAACTGGAATCCAGAGCTTTTGCCTGTTAGGTCGGCTCTATTTCCACTGCCTATTTTCCCCACCCCGCATCCCCACCCCTTGCCACTTTTTCTTTTTTCTTTTTTGCCTTTGTGACCCCTTGGCAGGCCTTTCACCAGATACTCTCTGGTCTCATTTTTCTCAGAACTACTAACTCCTCTCTGACACCCTACCCATCTCCTCCATTCCTGTGGTCCCAGATGGTCTCCCAGGTTCTCTTTGTTCCAGTTGGATTTGTCCTGGCTTAGGCTGTCACTTCTTGGCTTTAAGACAGAACTTTGAGGTCTCATCACCTAGAGGTGAAGGACATTTGCCACGGACCATGTTGTCATGGTTATTTTTATTGATCACGAAACAAAGAAGATCAATACTTATGTATATTCATTCATTTAACACATACTTATTGAGTACTTAAAATATTCCAAGATGAAACAGTGGGCTGAAAGAAATATATTCTCAATAAGCACACAGTCTGTAGAAAAGAGAGATGAACCAAACCCATCAATAAACCTGAGAACTCATGACTAGAAATACTAAGGACAGCTTCCTGTGTTACTACTTGTGGGCTACTGTGCTTAGAAAGAGATAGTAGTGGCCATGTGCTCTTTGAGCTATGGCCATAGCCATGTTTCCTAAACTTTGGCCCCCTTCCTAACTTGGGAAAGTGAATCAATCTCTCTCTAATTTACTTTTTTTTAATTTATTTTTTTGAGTTGGAGTCTCACTCCATCGCCCAAACTGGAGTGCAGTGGCACACTCCCGGCCACTGCAGCCTTGACCTGCTGGGCTCCAGCGATCCTTCTGCTTCAGCCTTCCAAGTAGCTAGAACTACAGGCACGCACTACCACACCTGGCTAATTTTTTTGATTTATTGTAGAGATGAGGTCTCACAAGTTGCCTGGGTGGGTCTCGAACCCGCGGGCTCAGGCAATCCACTCACCTCGGCCTCTCCAAGCACTGGGATTACAGGCTGAGCCACCGAGCCCGGCCTCTAATTTACTTTTTAAATAAACTACATTTTCCAATCTAAAAAAAAAAGAGAGAGAGAATTCTTTAAACCAAAGATATTACAATTTGTTCCATCAGTCAGTAGCAAGCCTATGAGAAGACATTTGAGGTGCTTGGCGTTCTGGTGTGTCTCAAGTCGCATCTATGACCTCCAGCTCCATTTAGGAAGCCTGGATGATCCTGGACCCTTGGACTGCTTTCTGAGCTGAAGGTCATGGTTGCCTATGCTGTATTTTTTTTTTTTTTTTTTTTGAGTTGGAGTCTCACTCTGTCGCCCAGACTGGAGTGCAGTGGCCGCTCCTGGCCACCGCAGCCTCGACCTGCTGGGCTCTGGCGATCCTTCTGCCTCAGCCTTTCGAGTAGCCGGGATTACAGGCGCGTGGTACCACGCCCGGCTAATTTTTTTGATTTATTGTAGAGATGAGATCTCGCCAAGTTGCCCAGGCGGGTCTCAAACCCGCAGACTCAGGCAATTCACTCACCTCAGCCTTCCAAAGGCGCGGGATTACAGGCTGAGCCACCGAGCCCAGCTGCCTATGCTGTATTTTTAACAAGCAAAGTCTTGGGAATGACCTGGGCCCTATGAGTAACTGCAGACCATGAATCTAACTTGCTGGTGGGAGCTTGCAAGGGGAGAAGTGACTGCAACCTTCCTCCCACTAGTAAAGAGTATGTATGTCAGGACACCTACAATGGACCATGTTGTCATTGTCATTTTATTGATCATGAAACAAAGAAGATCAATACTTATTTACATTCATCCATTTAACAAATACTTATTGAGTACTTCAGATATTCCAAGATTAAACAGCAGGATGAAATAAATATATTCTCAATCAGCACACAGTCAGTAGAAAAGAGAGATAAGCCCATCAATAAACTTGAGAACTCATGATGGATGGATGGATGAAAAAAGTGCATGGAGAAGGGTGTGAATAACTCTGCATGGTAAGTTGAGAAAGGTTTCACAGAAGAGGGGACCTTGGTGGAATCTAGAACATTGGGAGACTGAAAAGCAAGAGAGGATATTAACATTTTCTGTAGCAATGGGGTAGGAGCTACAAGCCAGGACCAGGGAAGAGGAAGAAATGTCCACAGATTCTAAAATCAGAAGTTTTTCTGGTCAACCAAGTAGAGATGAGATGAGAAGGGCTGGGTCATGAAGAACCTTGCGTGTTATGTGAGTTGAGTCCAGGCTTCAACTTCAGGGCAGCATCAGACACTGAAGGGTTTTAAGCAGAGAAGTGGCAGGATCTCATTTGTGCTTCAGAAGTAGAACTCTGAGGACAGCCTAGTTAATACACCAAATCCACCAATACCCATTTCTGTTTGCATTTGGGATGACCTGGAAGCTTTTGTTTCTAATACAGACTTGTAGAGAACATGCTTTTATCACTGGACGGGCTGTGTTGGCCCTGCATGAATTTTGCCATGTCTTTTCCCTAGGGATGTCACCCTCCACCATGTGCAGCTCAGAGGACATAGGCAGCTGAAATAAGACATGGTCCTTACATCCGTGTAGACTTTTAAATCTCATAAGATGTTTTAAAATACATTCACTAATGTCATATTCACAACCCTGACGTGTTTCTTAACTTTAGCACTTTGAGAAATCAAGTCTCAAGTTAGGGAAATAACTATTTGTACACCAGTAAATAGCAAAACTGGGGCCTCATTCTGGGGCATCTTGCTCTGAGTGCAGGGTTCCTTCCACTGCTCTGCTGCTTCTCCACCCAACCTTCTCCCGCATCCCCGTCTCCTGAGTAGCCAATGGAAGTCAGTGAGAAAGCAAGAGAGGCAGAGCATATAAAATTTCTTCGACATCTTCTTGGGTTTCTTTAGAATCAGTGCTTATTTATTTATTTATTTATTTATTTATTTAGAGTTGGAGTCTCACTCTGTAGCCCAGGCTGGAGTGCAGTGGCACGATCATGGCCACCACAGCCTCGACCAACTAGGCTCAGGTGATCCTTCCACCTCAGTCTTCCAAGTAGCTGGAACTACAGGCGTATGCAATCACGCCTGGCTTATTTTTTGATTTTTTGTGGAGACAAGGTCTCACCAAGTTGCCCAGGCTGGTCTAGAATCCGTGAGCTTAGGCAATCCTCTCGCCTCAGCCTTCCAAAGTGCTGGGATTATAGGCTTGAGCCACTGTGCCCGGCCCTCAGTGCTTATTTAAGTCATACTTTAAAACAGGCCTCCTATATTTATGACCCAGTGACAGCCCTGGGTGTGTTGGAACATATATAATCTGAGCCTCATTTCTTCCTTTCAGCTGGAGAGGACTTTACCTCTGTGGTCTCAGAGATCATGATGTACATCCTTCTGGTCTTCCTTACCTTGTGGCTGCTCATTGAGATGATATATTGCTACAGAAAAGTCTCAAAGGCTGAAGAGGCAGCCCAAGAAAATGCGTAAGTCCAAAGATGTCAAAGCAATAATGATAGCCAGCACCTCAGAACTCTTGCTCTCCCAGGTGAGGTGCTATGTGATTTACATACATCCTCTACCTTCTTCCCAACAACCTATGAGGTAGGCACCACTCTTATACCCATTTTACAGATGAAAGCACTGAGTTGGGGATAATCTGCCTAAGGCCATTGTGAGAGTCAAGGGAAGGTTTGAATTCAGATCTGCTGATTCTTGGTGTGCACACTTAACCTTTAAGGCAAAGACAATCAACTGTCACCGTAACCTCATGAAATTATTATCATCATCATTATTATTTTGAGTTGAGGTCTCTGTTGCCCAGACTGGAGTGCAGTGGCATGGTCATGGGTCATCACAGCCTTGACTCCTGGGCTCAAACTTTTGCCTTAGCTTTTCAAGTAGCTGGGGCTACAGGGGCATACCACCACACCCAGCTAATTTTTTTAAAATTTTTTTGAAGAGATGTGGTCTTGCTATGTTGCCTAGACTAGTCTTGAACTCTTGGGCTCAAGCGATCCTCCTGCCTCGGCCTTTCAAAGTGTTGGGATTATAGGCATGAGCCACTGTGCCTGGCCAAAACTAGCATTATTATAACCATTTTACAGTTGCCAAAGCAGGCTTATAGTGGCTCATTGTCACACACATACTGAGAGAAGAGGCTGGGATTTGAACTTAGGCTTCTCTATTCCTTATGTCCATGCTCTTTCTGTCACATTTAGCTGTTTACTCTATACCATGGGAGATCCTCAGGCCCTCTGGGCACTGTCCTATATTAGCAAAGGAGCTCCAAGCAACATGTTTTTCCCCTAGAACCTGGCAGTGATTGAATACCCAGCGTTGGGACTCTAACCTCCTAGTGTCCTGCCGGTACCTTGGCCATTTTCTTCAAGACACTAGTCACTCAAGAGACAGCACGTGTGAGAAATGGCGGGGTCTGTAAGAGTATAGGGTCTAAGAGATCACTATGGTCCATTATTTGAGGAGAGGAAAGACAGAAAAAAAATCCCACAGACTTCTAGCAACAGTGCCGAAGCAAAAGCTAAAAAGTCTTGGTCATTACCACTTAGAAATGTGTGATAAATAAAACAAGAATAATCTTACATGATAGCTATTTTTTATTTCTTAGAGGAAAAGAAAAATGACAACTGGCCAGATATAAAGGTAGAAAGAAGTGTTGCACTGAGGGAGGTTGTAATTCCTGGTGACTTATAGGCTAGGATTTTAGTGCTCGAATAGGAAGAGCCTACAACTGGGCCTGCATAAGAAACAGAGATGGAACTGAGGCCCCCACCACAGCCAGGATCCTCAGAGGGTTACAGTTACACAAAGGGTAGACCAGAAAACAATCAGCCTGCCAGCCCAGGAAAAAGCCAAGGAAACTTACCCATCTTGGCCTTTCTCCAAGTAGAAAAATAAGGATTCTTGAGAATTAATAACCACAAACCTGCTCTCACAGTGTTTGAAATTTAAATTTATACTACCCACAGGATCCAGGAACCTCTAAGCTGAGAAATTCAGTAAAAATTAGTCTCTATGGCTGGGCTCAGTGGCTCAGCCTGTAATTCCAGCACTTTGGGAAATCAAGGCGAGTGGATTGCCTGAGCCCGTGGGTTCGAAACCAGACCGGGTACCTTAGTGAGATCTCGTCTCTACAATAAATATCAAAAAATTAGCTGGGCGTGGTAGCACGCACCTGTAGCTCCGGCTACTTGGAAGGCTGAGGCAGAAGGATCGCCAGAGCCCAGCAGGTCGATGCTGGGGTGGCCATGAGCATACCACTGCACTCCAGCCTGGGCGACAGAGTGAGACTCCGACTCAAAAAATATATATATATATTAGTCCTGGTTAGTGATAACCATGAATGTCTTATGAAGCAAATGAAAACCATTCTGAAGGGGCACACTCTCAGCCATGGCCTAATAGGATTTCCCAGATAAAGCTGGATCTGGTCTCATAATCCCAATCCAAAACTAAAAGACACAACCAAAAATCCAGCATGAGCAAGAGGAATAATAAATGGCAGAAGCGTCAGACACAAGAATGAGCTGATTACAGGTATGAGCCACCATGCCCAGCCTGCAGCAAAATGTAAAACTCAATGATTTGGCTCAGCAGACGATTAGACACTGGTAACCAGAAGATAAATGTGAGGAAGGTACATAGAATGTAGCACAGAGATATGAAAAGATGAACTAGAAATCTAAAGAAAACAAGAAGGTCAATAAAAATAGAACAGAGAGAATGGAGGAGAGACAGTATTCACAGAGTGGAGGAGGAAGGAATAATGCTTCAGATTCAAGAAGCAAAATATGTCTTCAGCAGAATAAATACTAATAAATCTACACCCAAACGCCAAGCATCTTTAAGTAATCAATGGCAGCTATTAAGATAGCTTCCAGCAAGTATCATCTGTGTTCTGTGTGTTGAAACTTTAGAAGAAGTGGCTGTAATACTAGAAACATATCAAGGACACTGCCTCTTCCTGCTTCTATTTAATATTGTACTGACGTTTACTAAGTAAACACAAAGAAAAAAGAATGAGAACTAGAAAGGAAGAAACTAAATTATCAGTATTCACACTTATAATTATTTACATAGAATATCTAGGAGAATCTATAAACATACTGTTAGAACTAGTAAGAACATTCCACAAAATTATTGATACAAATCAAAATATAAAAATCACCTATAGTCCAGCAACAAATTTAGGAACATATTTAAATATTTAAAACATTCTAAAAAATTACAATAGTAAGATATTCTCCAGTACCTGGAAATAAATCTGACAAAATGGCAAGACATTTAAGGAGAAAATTGTAGAACTTGACCAAAAGACTTAAGAAAACACTTAAAATAGGCTGGGCACAGTGGCTCGTGCCTATAATCCTAGCACTTTGGGAGGCCAAGGCGGAAGGATTGCTTGAGCCCAGGATTTCTAAACCAGCCTGAGCAATATAGCGAGACCTCATCTATACAAAAAAATCCCCCAAAAACAGAACAGAAAAATTAGCTGGGTATGGTGGCACACACCTGTAGTCTCAGCTACTCTGGAAGCTGAGGCAGGAGGATCGCCTGAGCCCAGGAAGTCGAGGCTACTGTGAGCTGTGATCATGCCATTGCATTCCAGCCTGGATGACAGAGTGAGACGCTAACACCAAAACAAAACAAAACAAAATAAACAAATTAAAACAGTAAACAAAAATAGTGAGTGGATTTAAAGACAAAGTAAAATATAAAACTTGAAAATTCTACTAAGGGAATATAAGAGAATCTCCTTACCACCTTGGGAAAGAAAGGCTTTCTCAAACAATACAGGAGGCACAAATCAAAGAAGAAAAATAATTTTGATGACATTATATGCAAAAATCAATTGTTCATTACATGAATCCATAAGCAAAATTTATAGACAAACAAAAGACCGAGAAATTTTCAAGACATGAAACAATTTTAAAAGAATCAATGAGAAAAGACAAATATCTCAGAAGAAAAACTGACAAAGCAAATGAACAAATTTCAGAAGTGAAAACCCAAATTACATGTAAACATATGAAAAGATGCCTCACTTCACCAGTAACAGGGGAATGAAAATTAAAACAATGATAAAATATAATTTCACAGCCAGTTGTGGTGTCTTAGCCTGTAATCCCAGTACTTTGAGATGCCGAGGTCCTTGGTGAGATCTTGTCTCTACAATAAATCACAAAAAAACCTAGCCGGGCATGGTGGTGTGTGTCTGTAGTTCCAGCTACTTGGAAGGCTGAGGCAGAAGGATCACCTAAACCCAGTAGATTGAGGTTGCAGTGGCCATGAGTGTGCTGCTGCACTACAGCCTGGGCAACAAGAGTGAGACTGCAATTAAAAAAAAAAAAATATATATAAAATATATATATATATATATATATATAATTTCACACCCATCAGTTTGGCCAACATTTTAATCTAACTAAATCCCAAACACAATGTGGATAAAGAGATATATACTGCTGACAGGAGTGTTCATATGCAAATATGGGGGAGAGTTATTATTCTAATCTGCAAAAAGGGTTATTCTGGTTTTCTCTTGGGAAATACATCCAGAAGGAAATACAAGAGCTGTTCTGTAGATTCTTGTTCCTGTGCCCTGCTCCTTCCTCATCTTATTCTCATTACCAGGTATTAAAGCTCTGGTTCTTTCACCTCCTATGTCCTCTATAGGTCTGACTACCTTGCCATTCCATCGGAGAACAAAGAGAATTCTGTGGTTCCAGTGGAGGAATAGAACAGAAGTTGTATGACAAGAGGTGATGTACAGGGACATGGAAGAGGAGGGTGGACAGCAGGTTGTACAAGTAACTGTCACTCACAACTGAAGTGATTTTTAATTTGGTCCAGTCAATCGATTTCTACCCTGTACAGGGTACCCGTCTCAGGGTACTTCTTTAAGTTGATGACTAAGTCACAAAGCTCTGTATGATGTCAAGTCCTTCAGAAGGTGAATTGCTTTGGCCTGAGTACTGGGGCAACCTCAACTTGCCCATGGTAACAAAATAATTTTCTCACTCCCTCCTTTGGTCAAAGATTCTTTGGGCTGGGCTGGAATGGGCTGGGCTGGGTCGGACTGGAAATTCTTAGAGAGTTGTTTTATCACTGGTAGGTGGCCTGAACTCTGAGGGACTGGATATCCCATGTTCAGTGATGTCAACAGCATCAGAAGGGCGTCCCAGAGGCCCCATCGCTTCCCTTCACACATTCATTCTTCCAGTCAGTCATTCCTATATTCACAGACCTCTGAGCTTTCACCTCTGACTTCCTAACTCCATCAAACCTCTACACACCATAAGACTTGGCCAGAACTGAAAAGCCAACATTTCAACATGGACTCAACCTCATCCTAGCTTTCCAACAAGAAGCTCCAAAGTCAACTGGATCTTTTCTGTGCTCTAAATGACTTTGTACAAGGGCTGGAGGTAGCACCTCCCTCTACCCTTAACTGGCTGGAACTGGCTCATTCTCTATTGCACGAGAGTGGATGTCTTAATGGAAGGAAGCTGGAGTGATTTGTTTGGGTTAAAACAAAAGCATGTCATGAACTTGGATTCCCTGAAGTCAGTTTTTCCAAGTCTATGGCCCCCTTGGCTAGAGCATCACAGTGAAGCATGCCTCTTTAGATTCTCCAGAGATTGAAAAATGCTTAAGCTCTCTGGAGCTTAGTATTCCAGAGCTAGATCCTGATAGATCATTAAGCCTGGTTTGGACTCAGTCCTTCCAAGAAGCTGAGGACAGTTAGCTTGGGAAGAACCAATGGTAATTTAACTGGCTCTTAAAAGTCATATATGTTCCTGATCCTATTACAATAATGTATGTGTGCCCTCCCCGGGGTAGTACACCACCTGGGCTGGGCATTGGGACTGAAATTCCTAAGGTCTTCCTCTCAAAATTTTTGTGGGCCAGTATTATTCCTCATTTTACATGAGGTAACTGAGACTGATACAAGGCGCAACTGAGAGATTTAAGAGGATAAAATGGCACAGAGATGAGTCTTAGGTGCTGACCAGTTTACACTTCCAGGATGAATAATTTTGTTTTTGAAAAGACTTTGACATTGAGCTTGGCTATGGCCATGTTTCTTTCACAAGAACAAATTGGGCTGAGGTCAACTCTGTTAGATTCAAGTAACTAGAAACTAGCCAAAAAAGCAGAGAGAAGGACATGAGATGACAAATAATTTCCTTTGTGTAAAGATTTGTGAATCTGAAACATCCTCCAGAAACATCCTTAGTCTGAGATGGATGATGAGCAAATAAGTGAAGGGATTGGGGAGGGATAGGTGGGTGGCCCCCAAATACTTCCCCTATGAATCCATAACATCCAGTGGTATTTTTTTCCTCTCCTAGATTTTGACAGAGAAAAGAAACAGCTGAAAACATTTTAGTCAATATCTCACGTTTCATTTTAATTAACAGGTCCGGTGTGGTATTTTTTAGCACTTGGGGATAAGAGAGGTGAAAGATGCTTGATAAAATATATGAAGATGAGGGCGACTGGGATCCAATAAGAGAGATATCCGTCAGATCTGGGGAAGTTTATAAGGGAAGATTATATTCCATTGGTTTGGGGCTTCACCTGACAAGCTCATTTTCCCACCTCTTTCACCCTTAGAGGAAGACTTGAAACAGAGATTCTTAACATGTTAGAAAGTTTGATTTTGTTGAAGAAAATGTTTGCAATAAATTCAAGACCCTTCTTATTTGTAATTTCCCACAAATTCCCTCTGAAATAGGAGAGAGAATACAGACCATTTTTCTTATAGTTAGGAAAATCAGCTTGAATTAGTGCAAGGTTCTCCCTGTCCCATGGCTGGTGGATGCCACAGCAGGCAGTAGTGGCAAGTCTCTTACTACCACTCTAAGTTCCTCTTGGTTTCAGTAGACCATGCATCTAACTTGTAACCAAGCAGTATGCTCGATTGCCTTTTTCTTTTTAAAAAAAAAACCAACTCAGATGCTTCTTGTGTGACTTTTTTTTTTTTGAATCAGAGTCTCATTCCGTTGCCCAGGCTGGAGTGCTGTGGCACTCTCATGGTCACCCCAGAGTCGACCTGCTGGGCTCTGGTGATCTTTCCGCCTCAGCCTTCCAAGTAGCTAGAACCACAGGTCAGCTAATTTTCTATTTGTTGTACAGACGAGGTCTTGCCAAGTTGCCTGGGCTGGTCTCAAACCCACGGGCTCAGGCAATCCACTCACCTCACCCTCCCAAAGTGCTGGGATTACAGGCCAAGCCACCGAGCCTGGTCTTGGGTGACTTTTAATGGTAACTCTCCTTCATTTATCCTTTCGATTATCTTCTCTCCTCTTCCTTTTTCTGACTTCTCCACTCTTCACATTCTTCACACTTTCATTAGCTTTACTAAATCATAAGGTCACCTTGCTTGTAAGTAGAGAGCTAGACTCCATGTCTCTGACTTCTATCCCAGTTGTCTTTGCACTTAAGACTATAGCTGCTTCCTTTGTCTTTGTTTTTGAGTCAGAGTCTCACTGTGTTGACCAGGCTAGAGTGCACTGGCCTGCTCATGACTACTGCAGCCTCGACCGGCTGGGCTCAAGCTATCCTTCTACTTCAGCCTTCCAAGTAGCTAGAACTACAAGCACGAGCCACCATGTCCAGTTAATTTTTTTGATTGATTGTAGAAACGAGGTCTCACCATGTTGCCCAGGCTTATCTCGAACCCGTGGGGTCAGGCAATCCTCTCTCCTCCGCCTCCCAAAGTGCTGGGATTACAGGCATGAGCCACCACACTGGCCTTTTTTTTTTTTTTTTAAACTTCCATCCAATAACCTCTCTTGCGTGTCCTAATGTTCACCATCTTCTCTCACCCCTAATCCCACTCACTGCTTCTCTACTGCTTTGCTTCTTGGTGGATGCTAGAAATATGCTTTGAGAGTCAATCTTATTTTGTTTCTCTTTCTAGCTGGTTTGCACATCATTCTTTCTCCTGAATTGCCATTAAACTCCCTCTTGGGAGACTTGATCACGACTGTAAGTCTAGAAGGTACTGTGATCACAAGCCTACTTCAAATCTTCACTTGCCTCCCTGTTTCTCCCCTACATTCCTGCAAAAGGCCCAGGCTAAACGTGGGTTGCTCTGGAAGCTTTATCTGGCATGATGTTGCTGACTAAAGGGCTTAGAAGAGTTCTCAAGGGCTATTATCACTTTAGAAACCCCATCTGTTGTCTTGGTGCTGGATAGTTCCCATGACTGATCCTTAATAACACAATTCCCCAAAGGCCAAGCTAGGTGAGGTCTGATTTTTCCTTCCTGCTTCTCAGCCATGAACTTGACTGCTCAACTCAGCCCCAAAAGTACCTTGCCCTGCGAACCTTCATTGTCCGCTCAGTTTTATAGTTATAGCAAAGCCTCAACTCCTGCGTGGAAACACTCAGTGCCTGCCCCTATCCCAACCTTGATTCTCAGCCTGTTTAACAGCACGATCCTTTAATGTCTCCTTCCCTAAGCCCACACATCCAGACTTTCTGGTTTCTCTTTAAATGTCAAACTAGAAATATTACTAGGAAAGGGATTTTTCAAAGCAGAATATATGCTTGGAAATGTGTAGAGCAGAGAATGGTTAAGAGAAGAGACAGTACCTCCCTCCCTCCAACCACAAAACTGTTGAATCAAAAAGGAAAATACAATCGCCTCAGAATCTGTGACTCTGCCTCACATAAATCAGACAGAAAAAGGCTGTGTAACTGTATCTTTGCAGAAAGAAGCAAGAACTACACACATTTCAGAATATATCTTTGTTCCCCTTTCCCAGTTGAACATGGAATAGAAAAACAAAACAAACATAAACGAAAGAAAGTTTCCTCTCACCTCATTCTGTACACGAAAAATCCCTAATTTGTGAATTCACCTAGTTACTGTAAATGTATCCAAATAGTACTTGCTCATCAAACCAATCATCCATTCATTCCACAAACATTTCCAGCACCCAATCTGTCAAGCACTAGCTTAGACTCTCAGTGTGCCCCCTGGTCATAGGTCTGAAAAATAGCACCATCCAAACCTTAATCTCTGAACTCTAAAGTGGTGGATAGCTCATGGTTAGTTCAGCCCACTCCTCTTCCTGAGTTTGTAGTAGGATCTAGGAGAGAAGCACTTCCATACAAGTGTAAGTAATAGTTCAGACTCCACCTCCATCCAAGGCCAGCTACACCTCAGAGCTGGCAGTGCTCTCTCTCTCAACACTTGGCAAGAGCTGCCTCTGCTGGGCAGTGTGTGTGATGAGGAGGGAGGCCGCTGAAAGCCAAGTGCTCACAGGCCACCATTAAGCAAAATTAACAAACTCTTAAAGTCTTGCAACAGATAGAATTCTTTTTTATATTGTCACTTTCCTTTGCCTTTTCTTGATTTTCCACAGCCAATCTTTTTCTGAACTCTAGAAATGTTCCTGACCACCCAAGCCCTTGGTAACCTACTGCCTGTATGTGGTGTTTTTAGTAAACCCCCAATTCATATCAATAAAGCATCTGTTAAAACTGTTTGCTCTGGCTTTTCTCTACTATGCGTGTCTGCTACATAGACACTGGATTCCTGGGCACCCCCACCTGCATCAATGCCTGTACCCAGTGGATATACCCTGAGAATGAAAACCACATGCAATAGTGTAGAATTAAACATATACTAAATGTATGATTTAGTTTCTCCTCTCTTCTTTCCTCCTCTACCCAAATACAAAGGAATACAAGTCACTGTTTTATGCCTGGCATCAAACATGTTTCCTAACCAGATGGCAAGGAGCCAACCACAGGGTAGACCCAAGTGAAGAGAGGGGCCAAGCTGGCACTCAGCTCTGCCAGCTTAGGTAACATAAGGCAAACTATCTCTGTGCGTCCATCTTCTGGGAAGTGCCAAGGCCCCAAAAGGGAAAAGTTCAACAAGAAACTGCAATTGAGATTCACAGTTCACCACAATCTCCTATAATAACAATAGCACTGATCCATAATGAGATTAGAAATCATCTGAGTCAGCTTAAGCAACACAGCAAGACCTCATCTTTACAAAAAATAAAATAATTAGCCCGGCATGGTGGTACATGCCTGTAGTCCCGGCTACTTGGGAGGCTGAGGCAAGAGGATCGCTTGAGCCTAGGAGGTTGAAGCTGCAGTGAGCTATGATCACGCCACTGCACTCCAGCCTGGGTGACGAGAGAGACCCACTCTCTGAGAAAAAAAAAAAAAGGTAAATCATCTTAGTATAATACCAGCCACCATACTAAGAAATATATGTGTATATTTTTGATATTATCTCTAAAACACTGAGACTTGGAGTGATAGAGGCCCAAGTTGATAAATAGTGGTGCTGCAATTTGTACTCGGGTCCGATTTTAAATTTCTTATCCATTCTACTTGATCAGGGCGCCTCCCTCCCCTGAGAAGGTGCCTATCTGTTTATGTGTGTGTGTCCAAGCGTGCCTATATCCATGCCTTCAGGACCTGCCACGGGCCTAGCTGGGAAGACCAGAGACATGTGGGATGATGAACACCGATGAATCAAGCAATAAACACACACACCATTTATTCTTTGTAG